TCACTATAGTATAATGTGGTGGCTCATGACTCCAGCATTAAATAATAGATAATTGTTTTGCAAAGAATTGGGCCTCCGAAAAAGAGAAACACCTGGAAACCGAGCTTTGCAAATTATATTCTTGTCTAAGCCCTTTCTCTCATGACCTTTCTGAATTCTTCCATTGTTCTACTTAAAATTATTAACTGCAGCAATCGGTGAGAATGGATCTGGACAGCTTTACCTGCACTTTGCCATTATATTTTGAAAAGAATTGAATTCAGCTGGCTGATCTCTGGTGCTGCGTGATCAGCAGTCAGTGTTAATTCAGATCAGGTCTCCAGGATTATACTGCATAGATTTCCCAATTTGAGCTGGGAAAGTGTGTCTATTTTAGAGCAAAACTAATCCAAAGTTGCTATGGAATGTGAAATTCTGACAAATTGGCTATCAGCAGACACCAAGAGACACACTCGATCTATGCATCGTTTAAAAGACAACCCAAAGCCACTCTGCATTTCACAATCAGCAAACTTCATTCTCCCCTTCCCTGATGATATTACAGAGCCCACGAATAAAAGAGGAAAACAACTAAGCTCAGAGAAAATGGGATATATAAAACGTAGCTTATTCAGAGAGAAAATGAAGAGATATAAACAGAAGGTTTTATGCAATAATTTATATTATGAGATAGGGTTCCATGTATTAGCAGAGGAGAGCTATACACGGAGGACCAAGATGATCTGGATTAAAGAATGTAGATAAGAATCCCTAAATATTATACAGATATGAGTATAGATGGTTGAATGTTAAAGCTATTGTATAGGAAGTATTTTAGGCAGTTCTGTTTTTCAGGTCTAAATACAGTGCATTTACAGATGACTAAATTAGAAACTAACTGGATTTACTTATCACACTGACAACTTCATCAGTGCACTAAAAGTCACAATGTGTGAATTAAAAATGTGGAAGTGCTAGGCATTATATAGATATAAATATAGATAGTTGAAGATTAAAGCTATTATACAGGAAATTGTATAAATGGGTTTACTTAGCTGAGTGATATTTCATCAGTGTTCGTTTATTATGCTTTACTAGAAGGATTGTCCAACTGTGGATCATGAGCAAACATCATAGGTTTCCAACTGTTTCTACACCTGTTTCTTCAAAAACCCTTCTTGTTTTTTTTATTATTAGATTAGAACTGGTAGCACAAGTGGTGAATATAGAATGGTGGTTTTACTTAAAAATACAAACAAGATACAAGCAGGACGGGAAAACATGGGGCATTAATAAAAGAGTTAAAAATTCTGGATAACCTTCTGTTAGAGTCCGATGATAAATTAATAAAAGTACTTTATAGATATTTATTAGAATACAGACTTGAGGAAGAACATGTAAAAGAAACAGTGGTGGCCTGGGCAAAAAAAATTCAGTTATAATATTGAATTGGCTAAATGGCAAAAGCTTTGCACCATCAATAAGAAAATAACATTGGCCATAGCATGCAAGGAAAACCTTTTTTACAGGTAGCATCTTCCTCCAGCAAGGCTTTCCAAAATGTTCAAAAGTCTATCTCCAAATTGTTGGAAGTGCAAAGATGTATCAGGCTCATTTTTTTCACATGTAGACCTGCAATGTTGCACAAAAAGTATTGGAGGCTGATCCAGACATGGGTGGAACAAATGGTGTGAGAGTGTATTCCATTTAAGCCAGATTTTTTTTTTCTTTTAGGAATAATACCAGAAGGATATGGGAAGGATTTAATTTATCTAATAGTACATGTGTTGATGGCGGCTAGAATAATATATGTACAATACTGGAAGAAGGAAAGCATACCTCCAGAATCAGAGATAATAAGGAAAATTATGGCCTTGGCAGAATCAGACAGATTAACCCTAGAATTAAAAAAAACAAGGGGGAATCGGACTACTGTGAAACATGGAATAAATTCTATCAGTGGTTGCGTAGAAGGCAAGGTCGGAAGGTAAGTAGCTAGGATGATTAGAATAATTAGTAAACAGTGTATCAAACAAGAGGATAGTAAGTGGTGAAGTAAAATGTATCTATGTATAACAATTGTACTGCCAGAATGGATGCTCTGTGTTGTATTCTTATAATTAAAATAAAACACATAGAAAAATAGTGGGGGGGAACCATCTGGGATTCCAGGAATTTTCTTTCTAATCTGTTCTTTGAATTCATTTCTTTGGCTGTACAACCAGCAGTCAGTCCTCTTCAAAGACTTGATTCTTAAGATCAGGAATCCCAAAACTCCATGTGTTGTTTTTTTTTAAATGGTTCAGGAGCAGAACCAAACTCTGACTGAGAGTCAGCCTGATGTCTGCAGAGAGGATAAAAGATAGAACAAAGAGCTCATTGATGCTAAAATGATAGCTGGCACTGGGTAACTGAGCACGAGTTCATTAGTTTGATTCGTAGGGGGGGAAACACAATTTCATTTATCATTCTAGGGTGTCATATACTGCTCAATTTGTTGTATGTGCGGGTGTGTTTTATGTTGTATATTTTGTATTAGTTTTTCTTCATTTTGGCAGGGTGCATGTTCTATTCATAATATAACATTAATTTATTTAAACATTAAATTAAGTTGTGTGTTTATCCCATTACACTGTGGAATTCTCCAACAGTGAGATGAAGGGCATATACATTTAATAAATAAATAAACACCTGTGATCTTATATTGTGATGAATGCAGCTTTCCTATTGTTAGATAGAGAAGCCATTTTTGAGACTATAAAAAGTGTTCCTTACTGCACAATTTGTTAGCTTCCTCAAAAAATTATTATCACAATAAAGGATACTCTTCCAGTAGTTTGTTTAGATTCCTCTAATTCACTCTTAATGAAATAACAATTTCTTGTTTATGTATTTATTTGGCACCTGAACAATTTGGCTTTGAATTAATTTTTCTATGTTTCTGTTATCTTCTGCTAAGCCTATGCAACCAACTTTTTTTCAAGATGTCTCTAAGAAAAAAGCCTAGGTCCAACTTCTTCTTTTTTTTTGAAAGATTACTGTACTAAACATTATACAAACAGGGTATCACTGTGAGGTCCTTGGTGTTCTGTGAACTTGGTGACTTTTTTAATATTTAAAAAACTTTATTTAACAAATTCTACAATTAAAAAACATATCATATTTCCATTAATTGCAGCACATTTGTAGTAGTGTTCACTCACTTTGACGTATTCTTAAGTATGTAGAATATTACTAAATATTACAATTATTTTACATTTGATTTATGTCATTTTTGATATATTTACGCAGTTATTTACTTATTTATACATGTATACATAGTTATGCCTATTCATACCAAATTATTTCATCACACCATAATCTTTCATTTCATCGCTCTGTTTTGTGTCTACCTTGCAGCCAATTATACCATAAATTCCAAATTTTGTAGTACTCTGTTTCTTCTCTCTCCTTCTCTTCTCTCTCCTTCATTTCCATTGAAAGCCTATCCATTTGTGCACACTCCAAAACCCTTTTTATTATTATAATATCGGAGGGAATGCTATCACTTTTCCAAGTCTGGGCAAAGGCTATTCATGCTGCAGTTATTCTATATCATACAATATAATGGAGTTTTTTATTTATGTTATCTCTTAATATACCCAATAGGAATGTCTCTGGTCTCAATTCAATTTTCCGTTTTGTAATTTCCTCAAGCCATTTCCTAATTTTAAACCAATAACGTTTAGCTTGAGGGCATGTCCACCACATATGGAAATAGGTTCCCTATTTATAATTACATTTCCAACAATTTGCTGATCTATTAGGGAACATCTTAGCCAATCTTGCTGGGGGTAAATGCCAATGGTAAAACATTTTGTATACCTTCTCTTTGTATGCTGCTGAGTTAGTTTATAGTTTATTTCCCATAATTTTTCGAGCTTGGTAATTTTCATGCAGGTATTTCATTACCAAACTAGGTAACATCACCAGTGCTAAAAGGACTTGCTCTTATTTTTATATTCTAGTGGCTTGCCTTGTAAGTATCGTGGTGGTTCCTTGATTAGGCTATTGCTTACAATTGGCTTGTTTTGGTACTTCCTTGATTGTGGCATTATTTACTTTTTGATTGTCAGTCTAGTGTTGGTCTTAGTGTTAATTTCTACTCACGTGGATATTGATTGCTGGTGAGGAGGTGCTGTGGTTGTTTGGTTTCCTTTTGGGCATTTTGATTGTCTCTTTTGATTGATGTGTAGATGTTGTTTACCTCTATATACTTGTTGATGGCTGATTTATCTGAGTGCCAGGTGGGTGTGGGCTGTTTACAATGTCAGCGTACAGTAAAGCCCCCAACAATTGGCGTTCTCATTTTACCAACCTTGGAAGGATGGAAGACTGAGGCAATAGCTTTTTCTTCCTATATTTCTTCTACATGCTGGCTAGATTAATGTAAAATATGGAGGAGTTATTTGAGTGTTCTTTTCACGTACAGGTAAAAGAGCAAAAAAAACTTTTATCAAGAGAAGAAGAAAATGCACTCATTATATTCCTTAGTTACAGGAATATTTTTTTCTACATTTACTGAATTTTAGGTATTTTTGAATGGCAGGGCCTTCAGAGAGAAGTTATGAGGTAGAAGAATTCAGAGCAGAAATGGGATGGAGTTCTGAAATGAAATGGAGACAATTGATATCTACATTTATCATCCAGATAATTTATTTTTCATTCCTACCTGCATGCTGTGTTTGTCAGTGAATAGCATTCATAATTAAGTGGTAGGAAAACAGAAAAGTTTTCCCAGCATTGTAACCTCCTGGAGACACTATTACTTTGATATTCTGGTCTGTTGTAACACTCCATCCTATCTTATCAAGATAGACTTCATTTCAAAGTGTATCTGCTCCTGGTTCTTCTACTGCAAGTATCTAATCCTTACAGGCAGTTAATAAAATTTTGATGCCAACAACGCAGCTTATTTTGTTTTCGAAAACTCGGTATTTCTTCTCTCACTCTTCCTTTCCTCCTTTGATGTCTTCCTTTAGATTTGGCAGATTGCAAATTGATTACATTCCCTATCGCTCTTTATAAAGTCATGAGGCATGTCGCTGAAGGCATACATCTCATCACGTTGGCCAATAATGAGCTGAAGTCTGTAACCAGCAAATTCATTATCACTTTTAGCCAGCTGAGAGGTAGGTGTGCATCTCTGGAGGTAACAAGAAGAAGGAAGTGTGTCTGTTGTTGTTATTCCTTTTCCAAATGTTAGGACTTCTTCATTTTAAAAATGTATTTATGCTGTGTGTTACGTATTTTTTCCTCAGTAACCATGAATGTGGACTGTTATAGATTGGTAGTTAAACCCTAATTGTCAAAATGTGGGTAGTCCTCAACATATAGCCATTTGTTTAGTGACCATTTGAAGTTACAATGGCGCAAAAAAGGGTGACCCATTTTCACACTTACTACCATTGAAGCATCCCCATGGTCGTGTGATCAGAGTTCAGATGCTTGACATCTGATTCCTATTTATGATGATTGCAGGTTCCCGAGTTCATGGGATCACCTTTTGCAACCTCCTGACAAACTCAGTGGGGAAGCTTAAAATTCACTTAACAACCGGGTTAATTAATTTAACAACTGCAGTGATTCACTTAACAAACGTGACAGGAAAGGTATCAAAATGGGGCAAAACTCACTTAACAAATGCCTCACTTAGCAACATAAATGTTGGGCTCAATTGTGGACTAGCTATAAAAGAGTCTTTTTAGAGATGGGTGGCAAATAAATTAATAATTAATAAAATTACCCCTCTCTCAAACTTGATAGGCAATGTGATCATCTTAGCTTCTCGCAGCCTCAGAAATGTATAATAAGAGGTAAGATCTGACCACCAGCAAAAATTACACGTGGGGGACTTCTGTAAGATGCTTATTTTTTGAATTTTAGATCGAACCTTCTTGCTGTTGTGGTGATGTTGTTACTCTGCTTTGAAGCAAAGTTGAGGTTTATATCTTCCATTTTCTGTAGAATTTTCTGCAATGTGGAATAATCCTGTGTCCTTCAGTAACCCACCAGTTTTATTGTTTTTATTTAAGCCAGAGGTTTTCAAACTGGGCTCATTCCCATGAGTGTCCGAGCAGCTTAGGGCATTTTTAAAAAATTAAACTTACATGGATAAAATGGAACCACTTTCAAAACTCACTGGCCTTCTCCTTCATTGTACAAGTCAGCTGCAGGCAATTGTGACAATCTTGATAGATAGATTAAAATTTATTTTTTAGAAGCAAGGGGTTTTATTATCTCATGCCAGTTCCATTAGTTTCATTTGGAGGGAGGTCAATCAGAATCTTTTATCACAAAGTGAGCTAGTATCCATCAATGGAAAGTAGAATAGCGGCACAACTCTGTTACCGGTAAAGTAATTTATAGTGCTGGTGTCTGTTGTCAACAGTATAGGGAACTGGAGGAAGGGGTTAAAATACTGATTTCATACACAGAAGATAGGAATGAGAAGAAGAACTATCACGTTATCTTTTAAGGTGAATGAATGATTCCCTGACAGATTTAATTAACTCCCTCAAAGGTTAAAAGGAATTTTGTAAGATTGTTTGAAAAGTACCCTGTTTCTCCAACAATACGGCCTCCCCCAATAGGAAGTCCCAGCATGTTTTATAGGCATGAAATGAAATTAAACCCCTCCCCCCAAATTAAGGCCTATATTAAAATGGGGGGAATGGTGGGGGGGGCTTGCTGTTAGGAAGTACTTTTGTTGCACACCCAGATATGGTGCTGCTTGCGTTGACCCTGATACAAAGTGCCCCACCAACGCCGAGGTCAACATCCAAGCCATCGCCACCCGCCCAAAGATGCAGGGGGGGGGGAATTAAGTCGCCCCCAAAAAGACAGCCTAGTCATTTTTTCGGGGCTCAAAAAAAAATAAGACCCGGCCTTATTATATGAGAAACACGGTAGTAAAAGAGGGCATTTGAGGAATATGTAGAGTGAAACTGTAATCAAATTGTTGTGTATAAATAACATGAGCTTTGATGAAATATATACTGAGGAAGCAACAGTATGTAGTTGTAAAGAAGGATTAATGAGGTTCGACAGGCGCAGAAGAAAATTGCATACTGTATTTTGATAAAACAATTCTAACAGACAAACAATTGAGCGGCTGAGTGAATAATATTTATAGAGGAAAGATACATATGATTGCTTATGTTTATTTTTTAAAGCTTTCTGTACTGTTAGCTATTCAAAGGTGCGGGAGTACTTTGTGTTTCCTTACAAATCATTTAATCATTGATTGAATGTACATTTTAGTAGCTGTGCAAGCTTTGATGCAAAACTACGAAATGATGAAAGGAAAATTTAAGTGTCCCTCCAACTATAATTATCAATTATCTTAGCAGTGTCTATTGTACACTGTTGAAATAAGTCATCTCTAGCATTGTCTTTATCCAACTATTTAGCTGGAAGGCCAAGAATATAAGTTAGGAAACCTTACAGAGTTGGATTCTTCTTTCACATTAAAAATTGTAGTTGGCTTTTGAGTGAAGTGCTGGGGGGGGGGGGCTTACCCCCCAAAAGGAGATTGTACAAGGCAGATTAGTAGGGAAGACAACAACCATGTTTGGTTTGATTTCATTTCCAGATTATTTAAATTTCAATTTAAGATTTTTAACTAGTTGTGGCTATAGAAGACCAACCTAATATCTATTCAGTGGAAGAAAAGAAGACTGTTTACAGGGCCAGTGGAGAACAGAGAACAAACCCTCTTGACTGCTTACCAAAGCACTGGCAATTTCATTATTGAAGAAGTGAATGAATTTTAATCATTCTGTGATCAGGCTAAGTTAGACTAGCCTTCCAGTCCTTATTCACACAGTAGCTGACATTATTTATGCACTGGTTGCTCTTTTCCTAGCTCAGAGCTTGGAAAAATAAGCCTTAAGATTAGGAAATGATGTTTGAGAATTTGTAAAACCAGGCAGAAAATGAAACGGATGATGATTTGCAGGAAGAAATTGGCTTTCTGAATCTTGACGCTAGATGTATGCAATTCTATACTTGTGTTTCAGCAGTGTCAGCCCCACTAAGTAAACCAGACCATAACATTAACTCCACAGGAAGGCAAACATTACTTTTATTAAGATTAGTATAATAACAGAATCTTACAAGTCAGATAACTCCTCTTTCTTGTAGTTCAGTGAATTGAGTAGGAGGCTGGCTGAGGCCCTTACAAATGTTATCTCGCACTTCTGGACTTAAAAATTTTCAGCTCCCTTTGCCTAGGCAACAGGACCTGCATCTCTGTATCAAGGTCATCATCTTCCTTACTTTCTCTATAAGATAGAAAGAGGTTTTTTTTCCAAAGAACAGCTGCATGATCTTTGGAAGAGCAAAACAGAAGGATATTTTGGAGGGCGGTAGCCAGCCATATGGGGAAGAGGATGGAATGACGAGAACAACCCAGGCCGGTTCCAAGCCAGGAGAAAAGTGCTGGAAATAAAATGGAGGCTGACTGGCTTCAAGGAAAGAAGGTTTATTTGGATTCCAGAAACTTCATTGACAGCAGCAATGTTTCTGGGGTGGCTGACCCCTTGACTTAGGAATGGATGTATTTTTATAGCGTTCTGAGATACTCCAGTAGGTTGTGCAAAGTAGTGAGGCCTTGTGTCTTTTGCTATTCTAATGGTGGCAGATTAATCCTAATATGTGCTGAAGGCCATGTCCTGTTCTTAGAATTTGGGTGGGGGGGGGGGTTGTAAATTTTAATCCCATCAGCTCCAACCTTCTGTGCATTTTGTTGATGAATAGATTGGCCCAGTCTTTCTCAATGGGCTTCTGCTATTAAGAAAGACTGGGGCTGCTTTCTTCCTTTAAGAACATGTTTTCTCTATTTCTCCTTTGGGGAAATATTCTATATTCTGCCTTTCTTAATATTAAGAATAAATAATATTTTAATTTGGAGAGAGGGGGCTTCCTACAAGTACAGTGTTATTACCTAAAATACAAAATATGCGTGCTATATAATAAAGGAGAGCCAGTATTTTTGAAGGAAGTAATTGACCTTTCTCCCTGGAGATTAATACTAACCTGCACTGACAAGCAATTGACTGCACTGACATGACATGCTATAGCAGGCATGGGCAATTTAGAAGACACCAATTGTCTTTTTTGTAGCTGTCAGAACATCGTATGACTTTGGCACAGAATGGGCGTTGGTAGAAGTTACCCTGAATGCCCTTTTTATCTATGCTGCGAGAGAGCCCAGGATGGGTTGACTCCTTCCTATGATGTCATTTAGCAGAGTCTGTACTAAGATATAAAAGCCAGACCCCGGAAGTTACCCCAGCTTTGGCGAAGATACTTGACAGACTGAAAGGTGTCTCTGAAAGCACAAATGAATACAGAAATATGACTTACCCTCTCCAGACGAATCAAGGGAGGAGCTGGGCTCTCTCACAGTATAGATAGAAAGGATGTTCAGGGTAACTTCTACCAACGCCCATTCTCCTCCATGCTGCATCAAGAGCCCAGGATGGGACATACCAAAGCTTGCATGTCCACGGGCGGGTCCTCGTCCAGTTCATCACACCGACTGTTGAACCACTTGTTGAAGCACCTGTCTGCCGAAGGCTGAAGTTGCCAAGGCAAAGTCATCCAGACGGTAGTATCTGATGAAAGGAGACAGAGATGTCCACGTGGCTGTATGACAGATCTCCTCCAAGGGTGCTTGGGTCGCCCAGGCAGCCAAAGTGGCCGCGTTTCTGGTAGAGTGCGCCGTCAGAGTTCGAGGAACCGGAAGGCCGTAGCTTTGTAGGCCTGCTCAATGCAAGATCTGACCCACCTGCTAATAGTAGGAGAAGAGGCCTTGTGCCCCAAGTGAGAAGGGCAAAGGAAACAAACATGGCTTCCGACTTCCTGAAGGAGGAAGCGTGCTTAATGTATATTCTAAGAGCCCTTCCTACGTCTAGCGTGTGCCCCTGCTGCTCGAAGTCATGGTGTGGGAGAGGGCAGAAGCCAGGCAACATAATGTCCTGGGACCTGTGGAACAAGTGTTAACCTTTGGAAGAAATGAGGAGTCCAGACTGAGGACAACCCTATCATTGTGAAAGGAACAAAGGTCCTGTCTGATGGAAAGAGCAGCAAGCTCAGATACCCGCCCGGCTGAAGTGATGGAAATGGG